TTATAGCCCTTTGGAAGTTTGAGTACCGCCCTGTCTCAATAATATCATGTGCTCGTGTTTGGCAACAACGGATATAATCCGCCTTATCGGTTCATCGCATCGGAAACAAAAAAGCGTAGGAATTTGGAACGATGTTTTTACAATTATGTTATTCAGTTCAGTTATACATACAGTCAGTGTCAGTCGCGTGTGAATAGTGTCTGTTGCGTGGCTCAAACGAAATAAAAAATGGCACATGTTTATGCGGATCGGTTTCCCAATCGAGTGCAACCAACCCCTCGTGCCTTTGTTAATGTAGCTCGTGAATCAGGTGACTTAAGACCTCACAGGGGACCTCACGATCAAATACAGGTCCGCACTGAAATACTTGTCGGGAGGATACTTTATAAAACAAGGTAAAAAAATTTTTTTAATTTTTTTTATTTTTACACACATATTTTGGTTTATCTTCCTTCTACAATCATTATCTGAAAATTAATGACTCAACTTCAAAGTCACCCTGTATATATATATATATATATATCCTTGAATTTCTTGGGGTCGAAGGCAAAGTATTGCAAAAGTACACTCTTAAAACTTAAACTAAAGCATTCGAAGATCTATGTCTTCATCGTCTGGAGCTGGAAAACAATTACTGACAAGAGCAACAATTAACAATTAGGAGGAAAAATAGTTACTTACTAAGTCGGCGAGATTGTTGCTGAAATTGTTTTTAAACAACAGTGTCGGGAACACATAGTCGACGGATAAAAAACTGGACTGACGAGGTTCGGACGGAATTATTTTATTATTAAATGACAAATTATTTTGAAAGTTATTTTTACTTAAATTTTAGAACTATCAACTATTGAAAATTCCTTCGGGATTTCATCTTTTTTTCCACTGTTAACCTCCACATTATCCAACACGTAGAATGTCGGCCAAAGAAGTTCAATGATATTTTCTCCTAACAGTTGAGGCAATTAACTATGAATACTATATACTATATATATATATATATATTTCATTTACCTACATAATCCCTTCAAACGTAAACACGCATGATCAGCTGAGGTGGATGCTATATGCTTGTACAGGGTGGCCCATCCATGTGTGGACGGAATATTACTCATAAACGAATTCATTTTGGGAGAATCTATTTATGGCATGTTATACATCACATTTGAGGACACATTTCTAAAATACTGGCAATTATACAGGCTGTCCCAATTTTTACCTATATATCAAAGCTGTGATTTTTTAAATGGAACGCCTCAAATTTTATTGCATATTTGGATAAAACAATTCAAAAGAAAAAGATTGATATAACATACTATGGGGTTTTGGTAATTAGGTACTGGGATGTAAGGTGTTTTGTCCAGAAAAACCGTCCACTTCGGCAACCCCTCAATCCGCCATTTTGAAATTTGGAGTGCTGAATTTTGCATAAAAAAAACCTCTACACCTCAGCTTTTATCTCATTTGTTAATTTTTCGAATTTTCAGTTTTGTTTATACAGAGTGGTCAAAAACGCGAATGCGCAAGTTTGAATTCAATTTTTATAAGATTTTTTTGGTATAAGGTTTGATTCAGATAAAATCACTAGGTTTTGAGTTATTAAGCTTTTAATAGAACAGCACACCAAAATTAAGGAAAAAAATCGCATCATCTATGGAAGCAAAAGACAATCAGTGGGTTAGTTTCATATTGCCACTAAGAGTACAGATTTGGCGTAAAAACTAATAACAATCAGAACAGTATAAATCAGCTTCAAGCATAATAGAGCAAAACAACTATAACAACAACATAAACAAGCAATTATCACTACTCAAGACCTAATCTACAAAAACTGCTCGAAAATATCTCCACCATGTTGTATACACAGCCGTAGTCTTTGGATAAATAACCGTTGCACATCCCTCAGCATGTGTTCCCTTATGTTCAGAAAAGCAACCTTAATCGTTTCCTGTAGGTCAAAATTGATTCACTCTGTATAATGGCCAATATTTTTGAAATGTGCCCTCAAATGTCTTGGAAAACATCCCATAAATAGCTTTTCCCAAAATGTATTTGTTTATGAGTAATATTCCGTCCACACATGGATGGGCCACCCTGCTCATACAGATAGCGCTATCTATGAGACACTAACCTTTCCGAAGTATGTATAGTTAATAGAAAAACAGCTGTAACCAATTCTCATAAATGACGCTACGGTATCTCATTTTATCTCGGACAATTTTATGGACGCGGGAACATAGCATTAGATTGACTATCTGTAGGTAGAATACGTGAGTCGATGTTCAAACGGAGTTTTACTAAACGGGGAAATGCATTCCTGAGAGTTTCACGTTATTAATCGTAATATGGAATTGAAGCATTTTCACAATGCCTATGTTCGTCTGGCCGAATTAAGTCACATATGTAGGGATTATCAAATGAAGGATTTGGATTTGGTACCACCACAAACATATTTTCCTTGTCATGAGAATGTTGCCGTAACTGACAATGTAAGGGTTTTCTATGTGCGCATGTTCAAATGCAACTGATTTCCTGAATTTTATTTTAAGAAAACTGTTTTCAAGGGTTTCTCCACTACACAACGTATTATGACTTACAAAGACAAAGTGGCAACAAGTTCACTCCCGAATATCCGCTGAAGTGAACCATTGGCCGATAGGCCAAAAACATGCACTTTGAAATAGGTATATCGGTATCGACCGATTACACTGGACAACAAATTTTAGTTTTTTAATTGTATTTTGGGAAAAGTGCACTTCTTTGTTAATTTTGGGGCGCTGAATCCAAAAATCACAATGAAATAAAAAAATTAGTTGCGGTTTAGAAAAAAAACTTTTTATTTTTAAGGATATATTAAAAAAAGTAACAAGATTCATATACTTATAAGAATCACTATATGCGCTGTCTTTTTGCTGTTCTTCTGGATCATTTCTGGAGCATCTCTACCAAGAGTCCAACAGTAGTCTGCAAGTATGGAAGGATTCCACTTTCCCTGGTACCTTTTTTCCATTGTTGAAATATCCTGATGAAAACGTTCGCCGTGCTCATCACTTACGGCTCCGCAATTGTCAGGAAAAAAGTCCAGGTGTGAGTGTAGGAAATGTATCTTAAGAGACATATTACAGCCCATCTTTTGATACGATGACAGCATATTTTTGACAAGGGTTTTATAGTTGTCAGCTTTTCTATTTCCCAAGAAATTAGTGACCACCAGACGGAAATCATTCCAAGCAGTTTTTTCAATACCTGTTAAAGTGTTTTCAAACTGTGTATCTTTCAAAATATTTCGAATCTGTGGCCCAACAAAAATACCTTCTTTAACCTTTGCCTCACTTAGTCTTGGAAATTTCTGACGCAGGTATTGAAAAGCTGACCCATCTCTATCTAATGCCTTGACAAAGTTTTTCATTAGGCCCAACTTGATATGCAGTGGTGGTAATAAAATTTTTTTCGAATCTACTAATGGCATATGCTGTACATTTTTTGACCTGGCTCTAGGAATTGAGGAACGGGCCAGTTTTGTCTGGTGTAATGAAGTGCCTTTGCCCGACTGTCCCATTCACACAAAAAACAGCAAAACTTTGTGTAGCCTAGCTGCAGCCCAAGTAAAAGTGCAACAACTTTCAAATCGCCACAAATATTGGTGCTCATCGTATTTTATGCATGTCAATAGGTATTTCATATTGTCATATGATTCTTTCATGTGAACTGCATACCCTACAGGAAGAGATGGTAAAATATTTCCAATATGCAATAACACTGCCTTTAAACTCAATGTTGAACTGTCTATAAACAATCTCCATTCTTCTGGGTTATAGTTTATATTTAAAGCCGCCAGTAAGCCGTTAATGTTACTGCATAAAACCAAGTTATTCTCCATATTGAAAAATGGTTCTAAGTCTTTGTGGCGTTTACGAAAAACACATACCGAAACATCGTCTTCTAACAAGTTCCACTGCTGCAGTCTTGATCCAAGTAACTCTGCCTTACATTTTGGAAGTTCTAAATCTCTTACAAGATCATTTAATTCTGGCTGTGTTATTTTGTGCGGTTGGTGGCATGACGTGCTCGGTATAAAATCAGGATCTCTTGACGTTGATGGCATATCTTCTTCCTGACGAATCACTCGATCGCCATGATCTGATTCGTTTTCTGATTCGCAAGTGTAGGATTCTGGGGGTTTTGGAATAGGATTTTCGTCACTGTGAGGCACAGGTCTCATCGCAGATGGTATGTTTGGTTAGTTAATAACCGATTTTTTTTTCTTGGACATGCCTGTGGCTTGTCCAACACAAGGTACCATGCAAAAGTAACAATCATTAATATGATTTGTAGGCTCTCTCCAAACCATTGGGGCAGCAAAGCGCATAGACCGTTTTTTGCCATTTGACCAGCTCCTCAGACTTGAAGCACATGTATTACAGCAGATGTGGGGTGCCCACTGTTTGACTTGATCACCTAGTTTACAACCGAAATAAAGCTGATATGCCTTTGTTATTAGTGGAGTAATAGACCGTCTCTGAGACGCAAAAGTCACATCACCACACACGTAACAAAACTGATCTGGATTGTTTACACACTTTCGGGACATCTTGCATGAACGCTGTCAGCCAACTGAGGAAAAAATGGCTAATATAAAACAATATAATGTACACGTATGTATAACGTAACACAATCATGCCGATTACATCATCTTTCCTCGCCGAATATAAAAATGTAGCACGTGCATTCTTGTGAATTACAGTATATTAACACTGTCACAGCAGGAACACACATAATTACCGTATCTCTAAAACTCGAACTAATATTGAAAAAATAAGTTTCATTCCGGTTTTAGCACATTAAAAATAGTAATATTTTGTTGATTTTATTTAGGATATTTTTTGACTGTTGATCAGTGTTATCGATATCGGCAAAACCCAGTGTCGGTGGATCTCTACAAAGCAATGCAACTTTTTTGAAGAAGTTTTGGGAAAGACTTAATGGTTCAAACATGCACCCACCTGGATATCAGAAAGGGTAGCCCTAGAGTGGTGACTGAGCCTGCAGACCATCTCACCGGTATCACCATAATCGTACGAGTGGCACCTGTAGGGAGAGTTCAAACACAGTTCTCTGCATTCATCTACAGAAGCGACATCTTGGTACACCGAGTCTACAGTCTTCAGGATTCTGCCGTTCAGTTTTTTGAATTCGCACAGCTTGGACGGTTCTTCAATGCAGTTGTTCTCCATGTAGTCGTACCCTGCGGATGGCTGAAAAGCAGTACTGCCTGCCACTGTGATACGGTCCATACTGTTCAGCTCGCACGTACCGGTTTCGTTGTTATAATTGACAGACCTGAAACAATATAATCCATTAATATATGATGAACCAAAATACTTAGCAGATTGCTCCAAGCTCTCGTTAACATAAGAATCAGTACTGGTACAATTTTTAGTATACGAGTGGCACGCTGTATATTTTGAGATGCGCATTAACCATACTAGTTAAAACCGGTAACAGTGCACTATTAGAAAGAGCAGTCCTTTATTAGTAAGTCGCCGCATTCAGTTCATTTGCAAGCGTCTTACAGTGCACGTGGTGTAAACAAATTTAAGACAAAACATGGAGTTGCCTCGAGAGAGCTATCGCCCTATGATTTACCAAGTCGGTTTAACTGAACATCAATGAATCGAACGGTTACAACAGGCATTTGGTAATAAATCTTCGTCGGGCAAGTGTGTTTCGCTGGTATGCCGAATTTAAAAGAGGGCGTGTTTCATTGGCTGATGAATAACGTAGTGGTAGGCTAATTGAAAAAGATTATCGCTACACATATGCGACTGTAGAGGCAACTCTTGGGGTAGCATCCGCAACAGTGCGCATCATTTTGTGTGATCATCTTCATTCAAAAAAAGTTGTTGCAGACATACAATCCTGCATCACGACAATGCTTCCAGCCACACTGCTCAACTGTAGACTTTTTATGCCAGCGCCACATTGAAATGCTAGAGCATCCGCCTTATTCGTCAGATTTAGCAATGCGTAACTTCTGGCTGTTCAAGAATACGAAAAAAATGTGCGTGGCCGAAAATTTTCGTCCGAAGAGGACATCGATCAAGCAATTAATCAGTTTTTTTAAGGCAATTCCCAACTAGCAAATTAGTGGTATAAGCTTTTGGTAAAAGAACCGTTCAGCCATAAAAGCTCTCTATTGTTGTTGCCTGAACACCAAAATGCAGGCTTAATGTTTTGTGGAATGCAGATTTGCTTTCTGCAACATATTTGCTCTAAAATGAAGTGTTTAAAATATTCTTATAGCATAGTTATACAACACCTTATAGGGCAAATTTTTAACTGTTGCATAAACGTTTATACAACTATTTTATACGGCATATTTGCACGTTAGTCAAAATGGTTGTGCTGTGGCATCCCTCGTAACGTTTATAAAACAAACCCTAGCCTTGTCGTTTTGCTGTGCAATTTACTACTTTAGCCAACAAATTGCTCCCAACGGAAGCACTTATACAACTGTTGTTTAGTAACTGTTAAAGGCTGTACATATTTATGCTAAATATCTTGGTAAACAACTTCACTTTCTGCTGTCATATTTTTGTAAAATGCCATAATCAATGTTTTAAGACAAACAAAGCATGCATATTGGTTCAAAAGGTTTTATCAAATGTTCAAACAGAAGATACAGATCTGGTACAAATTCTGGGTAAATCATTCGACTCTGTCGGTATTTCATTTCAGACATTTGTCAAATTGTTGTATAACACCTGCACGCAACACCAAAATATTCTAATAACCTAAAGACATGGACGATGCCATGATTGTACACAGCCACCCGCCATATTGGGCAAACATTTATTCCTCTATTTAATATTAAATAATTATGTTTCAGTTCGAAATTACAGATATAAACTGATAAACATTAGTGTAATTGTGTCTAAATATAGGATTTGTGGAAGATTTAACTCAGATAAGTTCAGTTTTCCATCTTAAAAGTCTAGACATACTATTGATCATTGTCAAAATATGAATCAAATACGAAGCCCGTAGAAATTGGGTAACTAATCTGCACGATAATCACAATAAAATTTTCTGCGCAAGTAATTCAATAGCCCTATATCACAGTGTAGAAGTTTATCATATACCTGTGTATGAAATTCACAATGGCCGATATGTAAGTAAACAAGATAACTGTAATGTTTTAGTTATATATTCTTCACTTCGTCTATACAATGCATAAGAAATAGTTTGGTTGCAATAAAGTAGAATCACGTAACAGAATAGTTGTATAGTTGACAAAAACTGAATCTTGCACTGACTCAAATGTCCTATAGCGGCTGCAAGAGGCTTACACTTTTGTTTTATAGCTGTTACCTGCAGCCCTTATTTAACCTCTTAAATGACTGAAGTGTCCGATTAGGTGTGCCCATTCCGCTTGTATACCTGTTCTAAGATGGTTTTGCCAATGTTCTTACAGTATACAATGATACAATGCTGTTTAAGGAATACTGTATAATCATTCTTGCAACTCTAATAGGAGTGATAATTGTTAGTTGGGTTGTGGAAGGTCAGGTTACAGAAGTGCATTGTTGCTGGAGGAGAATACCTTGAACATAAATAAACTACTTTTCGAAAAATAGTTTGTAGTTTTCGTGTATCTCAAAATATATAGCGTGGCCCTCGTACGAGAAGCGTTAGCGTAGTAAAGTGGAAAACATTACAAGGTGATTGAATTCTTGGCTACCTGCTGGCCATTGATGTCCAAAAAATTAAGAAACTGTGTAGTAAATCCAATATGCAGATCCACAGATCTTGATCCAAAAGACGTCAAGATCGTAGCACGGGCTGCCTAGAGAACTGGCAACCGTGACAAATACACTGACAATTATTCAAAAAAGCTATTTGAGGTTAAAAAGAAATGAATTTCAAACATACATTCCTTTTTAATTTCTTAACCAAATACAAATAATGTAATATCCCGTGTATGGCATCTATGTGCTAGCTTGTATTGAGAATATCTTCTGTTTTTATGACGCCAAGAGCATCCGCGGAAAGTGTGTTTTATAACTTTATAAAAACAGAAGTTACCCTCATAACTTGTAAGTTATCAAATAGTTAGTTAAAGCTTAGGGTCCCATGTGGGGCGATTTAGTTTAGTAACTAAAGAGAATAGTTTGATTGAAATTCAATTTTTCTCCAATCCAGTTACTAAACTGTTTGTGTCAATAAGACCCAACAGAACACACTAAGATAAATACTGATTTTGATTTTGATTTGGAGTAATCTTTTAAGCAGTACTCATGTTTGGTCACAATTTAGGGAAATGCCTAAACTTTTTAAATGTCAAAGATATTTTATTATCAGATGCTTTCGCGAAGTTAGTTCCTACACCATTTCCGTTGGACTTATGAGATATTATAGTATTTTCCCGAATTCTTCCAATTTTCACCACAAACAAATTCGTGGAAATATTCAAAAAACTGATCATATAACCTACATGGACATGAAAATGCTACTCAAACATTTAAAGAACATTCGATGTCATGTCCTTGAAATACTCGTATTTGACACCAAAATTGATAAGCTTCCTGTTACTCTCGTATTGAGATTTTTGCGTATTGTCTCACAAAACAAATTAGCATAGAGGTATAGAAACAATTGACCGTATGAAAGTGAAACATTGTAAGGTGGGACAAACAGCTATACTTCAAAATAGCCCATACAAAAACGAGCCTTGGAATATTCTCGTATGCAACAACTATCGTTTGGGTAAAAATAGATGGTAGAAGAGGTCAACGTAGACACAGATTCTCATGGATGCCAAAGGCACCAACGCGCACGGTCCGATTTAATATCTGTCAAGCCGCTTGTAAAATGTCAAACATTACATTGATTACCAACATCCGCATAGAGCAATAGGAACATGTCTAAATTCAAAGAGTCATTTTCTCGGTGCATTCATTTCTCGGTGTCAAGAAGCATTGGCGCCATTCTATCCTAAGAAACCCCACAGGTAGCATCTAACTACAGGTCACGTCCAAGTGCTACAATCATGTCATCTCCAAGAAGAGCATAAGATGCATTTTAATAACACGTTCACTGAGATGTCACGACATTAGAGCTTTCCAGTTTCTTATACGAGTATGTGATAGGGATATTATTTTTGATTAATCCGTTTTTACATAGCTTTGAATATATGTAATTAATGTCAGATTCATGAATTCATCCTTTTCTACTTGGGAAGTAACAAGATTAATTTCATATGAGACAACATGTTTACTGAAATGTCATGAAATTAGAGCTGGCCAGCTGAAGTGCTGGACTTTTTTAATACAATTTTTAGGTCATATTTCCAGTGTTACATTTGTGCGCGTGGATTTAGACAAAATCTTCTAGAAAATTACTGAGACTTTGACGAAGAATCGATATTTAGAAAAAAGTTTGAACACCAGTATCTTGAAAACAAAGCACCAGCAGATAACGGTTTTGAAAGATGTTCGTGTTATATTCAGCTTTTGAACTTTGGTCAGATACTTCACATCACACGTACGTAATGTATTATTATTAATATCCTATCAGCGTATTATGCAACTATAAACATTGAATTAGAGCTACCGATTGCCAAATTGGGCCTTGTGAGGCAAGAAGTCAATGTTTCAAGTCAAAACGACGCTGTAGCTTAATTTCAGAGCTGAACTAAGTACAATTTTCACGATTTGAAGTTTTTTGCATCAGCCGATAAACCGAAACATGCCAATGCAGAAGTAATGTAAGGCGAGAGAACTATTATTGAGTTGGTTTTGTATCAGCAACTAATAAGATGATGTCCAAACAAATATGTTCACTCCCTCTCTCGCGCGCGCAGTTTTTTAACTACATATTTTGCGCTTACCTGCAGTGGCGAAGCGTCCATGTAACCATTGTTACCATTGGTAACAGTTAAATATCTAAAAAATAAATATTTTATAACTAAGTACTGTGCAATAATTTCATTTATTTGTTTACCAACAGCAATATGTAATAGTAATTCAGTAAATAGCAAATTTTCCCCACGAAAATAATGCGCTCTATACTGTCTAGATTTTGGGAACGCGATAAAGCTGACTCGCCTCAAGTTGGTGGTTGGTTGTTACCATTTTCATTAATGGATACACTTGATAGTCCGTCGGAGACCATAGGTGCCGGCTCGTCTCTGATCGCGATTATTATGTAGGCTTGTTACCATTTTTTGTTTGGGTTACTCACTTCTCACTCGTTAGTAGTTTGTCTAGTTGTTTTGTGTGCCGGTGGGTGCGTGCAGTTAAATATGGGATGAGTGTCGCTGAGTAATCGATCAACTACTT